CGAGGATTTCAGCAGGAGTGCACGTGGACAGACGAGATTTTTGGACCCGTCGACACTTACGGGCTGCAACGAAAAATGGAGTGTCCATATCGCACTTAAGAAGAAGTGGGACGCAGGCGACGAGGGAAACCGCGGCCGGTAACCTCGGAAACGACTCGTACGACGCTGCGTGCCTGGAGTTGTTGCAAGCTAGCCGACAATTTCGAGAGCGGTTTCTCCTACCAGGGAAGTCGTTTTCGGGGACAGCTGCAAGCGACCCACGATTAAAGAGGGCGTCTCATATTTTCTCCGTTTAACAGTAGGTTGGATTTAACACTTGGTTGGCTTCTGTGACTGGTTCACGAATCACAAAATCTGTGATGAGCTAGGGTCGCATTTTTGTCAAAACCAATCACTGACGCGAGTAACCAACCAAGTGTTAAATGTTTGTAAATATGAGACGCGAGCTTTAAACGGCGTTCAACGTACTGCCCCGACATTTACGGAGGAGTTGGTACAGGCCGCCGGGACACACGGGAAGAAACTGCCCGACGGCTAAGCAGGGGTTGAAGAATGGCGTGAAGGGCAGGTTAAAAGCCGGTGTGAACGATCTGTGACCTTCCGTCGCCCGAACCTCACCATCCCCTCCAAGTACTAGTTGTGACTCATGCAGTCAACTTACTTGGCCGAATAACGGGGGCAAACAGGGGCCTACCCTGTGCTGGTTAAAGGCACCTGGTTTGGTGCTCGTTCGACAGCTGTACAGAAAAAACAAAGAAAAGGGGGGAGTTTCGACACTGTTCTGCTCTGACAAAGCGGTCTGGGTGAAACAACACGCGAAAATCGGGGCGTCGCAAGGACAACACTGGTGCAGTTTGCTGGTTTCTCCTGACCTGGGCGTCTACACGAGTTGACGGCGCGGCGGCGATGCTGAGATCGGAAGTTGGGGAGTTTAGTGGCGTGACGGGTGCGGTGGGCTGCAAAGCGGTTGGGCATGGATTCCTTTTTACCAAGGCTACCCCGACTCCGATAGACTTTGCCCCTCCACCATGGCTAGGTTCGCGCGGGCAACACCGACTATACCCCATCCGACAAAAGCGGACGCTGGGTGAACGGCGGGAAGCGGAATTGTCGGGGGGTGAAAGATCAAAAGTATTCATGAAGCTGCGGGTATTTCTTCGCTTCTTGGAGTGCGGTTGAGTCGTTGGGGGACTTCGCCTGAAGGGCACTTTTCGAAGTTGCCTGGCAAGAAACACAGCGGTAGGGACACCTAGGACCCCTGGTGATTACATGCACACCTCGGGAGCGCGGGAGCAGTCGTAGCTTCGGGGACTTCTTGGTGGGAGAAACATGATATTTTGTTAAGCAAAATCGGCGGGAGCGGTCTCGACGACGGAGTCAACGATGTTGATGCCTCTAGGATCCGTGGAATTCGGTCTCGGAATAACCCAAGGCAGTCCTCGGTTCTTGATTGAACCCATATGCTGGGCTCGGGAAACCGATGGAAACTAATGGTGACCAGGTGGGCGGCTATAGTCCGTCCGAGATTTTTGGAGGCAAAATGCACCTGCAACTTCGGATTTACAGGGGTGTTTTCGCCCGACATTTACGGAGTTTTACGCGGGACTTAGCAGGTTTCAAGGCGAGGAGCGCCGATGTTTTCGTGGGATTTCTTGGAGTTTGGTTAAACGCGTGCAACAACAACGTAAGGCAATACCGCGGGAACTACACGGGACGATCGACTTACGACGACCTGGAGGTGGCAGCAGCAACAGTGGAATAGGGGAGAGACAGCTGTAATTTTTTTCATCTTTGCCCAGGAGCCCTCGGCGCATTACGAAAAATTGCTCAGCGAGTCAGGACAGGCTTCCCGAAGAGGCTGACGTCATCTGACACTGATTAAGTGTTTGATAATTTTGACCGGAGCGACATTCAATTTGGTAACTGCTTTGACGACCATCACCGACTCTCGTATTCGACTTCGCCATCAATCATCTTCATCGCCAACATTTTCGTACCACCCCTGATTTCACGGTCAGGGGATTGCGGGATACAACCGCTCCAACTCTACTAACGACAACTCGCCCCACTCAACCCGCCCACGACAAACGATCTGATTTCACCACGTCAGGTGCTGCCAGCTGCAGCTCCTGAAGGCACCACTGAAAGTTTTGGCGGCATGACGACAAATTTTGACAGTTCGAGCAACGTGGATTTTCCGTCGCGGTTTCTGGTCTACTTTTCCGAGTTTTTCCTTGACATTTTTTGGGGCACGGAATACCTGGTTTCGTCATCGAGTTTCCACACCGACACAAATTCGCCTGAATGTCCCAGTGGAAACGGGTTGTCGGCTCCGACGACCCTCCGACGACCTGACAACCTGCTGCCCCCGGGCAGGAAAAAAACTAAAACCCCATCGGATGGCATGCCAAAAGAGGGAGGCATCAACCCTAAACACATGCCTCCAGGTGTTTAGGGTTGATGCCTCCCTGACCGGATGCGTGGCCGTATGGGGTATTTTTTTTGCCCGCAGGCAGCGAGCTCCCACGGGCGGACTCGCTTGTCCGCTGAGATATACTCGGTTGGACTTCTTCGCTCGACGCTCGTTTCATTGGGATGATGAAAGGGTCCCGAAGCTCGTCCTGCGGATTTGCCTGTGGAAAAATGCTCGTCATCCTCGTCTCATCGCGAGAGTTGGGACGAGCCGAAAGCTGGTGCAAAGCTGGCGCAAGGCCGCGCCGAGTAAGACATCCCCCACCGCCCCTCATGCACTGCTGCAACTCCCGGTTTCGACCAGGTCCTGCCCGAGTTTCAAATGTTTGAAATTTTGAATTGTGATGTTTGTGAAATCGCGACTATCGTCAATGTAATCACTTAGGCCGCTTACTGACGGTGCCTGGTCGCGTGGCCGGTTGCGACCAAACAGTCTGCGCGACGTCGCACGACTCCGAATCGTAGTTCCGATATTGGGCGACTCTCGTCTCCTTCTCTACACTTGTTTCGAGAAATGATTGTACTTGACGCTAAGTTACGCGTGGAATCTAGTCACGGTTTCTGAGTGAAAACAAATCACTCCATCAAGCTACTTCCCCGTCCACTCGTTTCAATCCACAATCGACACAAAATACCGCCCGCTTGACCGCTACATGACAAGCATTGCGAGTCAGATTTTAAATGTGGATGATTTTTGTCAGAATCTTCAGCTCCCGTGCTGCTCCAGTGCCCTTGCCTGCCTTACTCCCTCCTCTTTTCTGCCTCCAGCCTTCACCCCTTTCCCAGCAAGCTCCTCAGCTTTCTGTTCATCTTCCCTTGGTGTCTAGCTGCTCCCTGCACTTTTAGAAAGCTCTCGGGCCACTAACTAGATCTGATGCTCAAACCCTAGCTCGGTAGACTGGATTGCCGAGCGAATGCTCCTAATCGAGTGCTTGCACCGTTTGGCTTCGCTTGTTTAGTGTCTTACAGGTTGGTAAGAAAGTTTAAGCATTAGTGTGAAAACAAACACGCAAGCACTGATCCTACACTGCCTACTTGCTTAAGTATCTCATGCGAGTTACCGTAACTCTAACGGTACCAATTCGCCTATCGGATCTCAATTTAGGTTTTGCTCGCTTCGGCCTTCTACCGTGCTGTTACTATTCTCGCTATTATTTCGCTTCTTATCCTATAAGTTACGGGTTTGTATCTATTATTTCTACGTAAATATTAATATCGTGACAACTGTCGGAATCTTCAGCTCCTCTGCTGCTCCAGTGCCCTTGCCTGCCTTACTCCCTCCCCTTTTCTGCCTCCAGCCTTCACCCCTTTCCCAGCAAGCTCCTCAACTCTCAGTTCATCTTCCCTTGGTGTCTAGCTGCTCCCTGCACTTGCCCCCTTCGCGGCTGCTCTACGGCTTCTGCCAGCTGTCGCTGGATATCCTGCCCGTGTGACTGTATATGCCTGCGTTCCTTAGGTCTGGCCCGAGCCCGCGCCACGTTAGTGTAATGATCCATCCTCCGCTGCCCCTTGTCACTGACCAACACCACCACCCCCGAGTCTGTCAAACAATAGGTTTGTTAGGCTACAGTGGGTTAGCCTATATGGGGTACACAATTCTAGGGTTTGCTATTTGTACTGATTTCTCTGTTAGTTCAACCATTCCAGTCTCTTCTTCTGACATGGTTTCAGAGCAGGTCCTTCGCTAGGACCGTTCTTAGGGCCCACCACTGAATACCTACCTACCTATCTACTGTCGGAGTGCTGCGTTAGCGCCTCCCCCTCTCAGCGCCCTAGTGCGCCCTCGTGTACGGCCCCTTAAGGCTTCGTTGACCCCGCGCGCCGCCCCTTAGTGACCCGCGCGTCGCTCCTTAGAGGCCCCGTCGACCCGCGCGCGCCCCGCTTAAGGCTCCGTTTGGCCCCGTCGACCCGCCCGCGGCCCGCTTAGTGGCCCCGTTTAGCCCCGTCGACCTGCGCGCGCCCCACTTACGGCCCCGTTTGGCCCCGTCGACCCGCCTGCGCCCCGCTTAGAGGCCCCGTTTGGCCCCGTCGACCTGCGCGCGCCCCGCTTACGGCCCCGTTTGGCCCCGTCGACCCGCACGCGCCCCGCTTACGGCCCCGCTTGACCCGTCGACCCCGCGCGCGCCCCGCTTAGAGGCCCCGTTTGGCCCCGTCGACCCGCACGCGAACCGCTTACGGCCCCGTTTGGCCCCGTCGACCCGCACGCGCCCCGCTTACGGCCCCGCTTGACCCGTCGACCCCGCGCGCGCCCCGCTTAGAGGCCCCGTCGACCCTATCCGCCGCCCCAAAGCGGCTCCGTCGACCCTACCCGCCGCCCCTACCCGCACCGCACGCGACAGCCGCGGCCCCGCCAGCAACAGGCCGCCCGAACCGAGCCGCCCAGTCCGAGCCGAGCCGAGCAGCCAGAACCGAGCCGCGCCGCCCGCACTGAGCAACTTCTCTGGACCGAGCCGCCCTACCTGCGTCGCGCTGCCCACTGCGTTTAGGACTCACTTACTGCTACTGCTACGGCTACTCCTACTGCTACTATGGCTACCCCGCCTGTACTAGCTTTCGATGCTGAGGGCCGCCCAGTGAAGTTTGATACTTGGCTTGATGACCTGCACCTCTTCCTACAGCTCACTGCCAAGGAGGATATCTCACTGTATGACCACGCCCTCGGCCATGCTCCTGCCCCTGCTACTGATGCTGACAGCACTACCCGCTCCCAGTGGCAGACTCGTGACGCCCACGCTCGCTTTGCCATCCGCAACTCCCTGCCGTTAGATGAGCGCGAGCACTTCGGCCAGTGCAAGACTGCTAGGGACCTCTACACCGCTGTAGTTGCCTGTTACTCCTCACCCGCTTCTGCTACGCTAGGCCGCCTCACTCTTCCCTACCTGTTCCCCGACCTAGCCTCCTTTCACACTGTCGCAGACCTCATCACCCACCTTAAGACTAGTGAGGCCCGCTTTCGCGCTGCTATGCCTGCCGAGTTTCTCACTAGCAACCCCCCCCCGCTCTGGATCACTCTCTACCACATCGTCACCCGCCTCCCTGACTCTCTCCGCGCAGTCAGGGACCACTTCCTCTCTCGCTCCCCCACTGAGCTCACCGTTGACCTCCTCGAGAAGGAACTGCTTGCAGCTGAGGCGAGCATCGTCGCTGTAGGCACCTCTCGTGGCGACCCCCGCACCCCGTTCTTTGAGGGGTGTTCCCCTTCCCCCCTCCTCCCCTCTGTTGCCTCTGCTGCTGCTGTCGACCTCCTTGGTGCTGAGAAGGTCGGGACCGCGTCTGCTTCGAGCGGGCGCCGCAGGGGCAAAGGGGGCAGGGGCGGGGGTGGCGGCGGAGGAGGTGGGGGTGGAGGCGGTGGGAGTGGAGGCGCGGCTGAGGAGGCTAGTGGCGGCAGTGGGGGAGGCGACAGCAGCGGCGGGAGTGGTGGCAGGGGCGGAGGCGGCAGCGGAGGCGGAGGTGGTCGTGGTGGCGGCAGGGGTGGAGGTGGCCGGGGCGGAGGCGGAGGGGGTGGTGGTCGTGGAGGCACTGGCGGAGGGCAGAGTCAGCAGCCCACCCCGACGCTTCACCACTAAGAGGGTGTTGCGCTACTTGTGCAGTACGTCGGGCATGGGGCTTGTACTTGGAGGGCGAGACCGAGTTGTGCTCACAGGGCACTCAGACGCTTCTTGGGCAGACGACCAGGCCACTCAGCGGTCGTCTCAGGGTTACACCTTCAGCCTTGGCTCTGGCTCAGTTTCTTGGCGCTCTACACGCTCTTCTTCTGTTCTCGGCTCCAGTTGTGAGGCTGAGATCTACGCTACAGCCATGGCTGCCCAGGAGCTACGCTGGCTGACCTACCTGCTGACTGACCTCGGAGAGCCGCCTCGTTCTCCTCCAGTACTGTACGTCGACAACAAGGCTGCCATTGCCTTGTGTGAGGAGCACAGACTGGAGCACAGAACGAAGCACATCGCCCTGCGGTACTTCCTTGCTCGAGAGTTGCAGCAGCGCGGTCAGCTTTGTATTCGCTACGTGGCCACTGAGGCCAACACTGCTGATGTGTTCACTAAGGCGCTTCAGCCTCGTGACCATCAGCGCTTCTGCACTCTACTAGGCCTTGTGCCTACTGGACCTCACTTGCTTACCTCTTGACTTTGCTTGTACTGTGATCTCTATATATATATATACCTGCATGTTTACTCTTGCTAGGTTGTGATCGCTGTATCTCTGGCTCTGTTATAAACCTGCATGTGAACTGGTCTTGTGACCACTAGCTTGTGCTCAGAATTTGTGTGGAATCCTCGAGATCCACCCTGAGCTTGTTGTTGCCTTGACTGGTCTTGTGACCCTTAGGTCTCCCCCACTTTGCCTATGGGGGTGTGTCAAACAATATATATGTTGGGTTTGTTAGGCTACAGTGGGTTAGCCTATATGGGGTACACAATTCTAGGGTTTGCTATTTGTACTGATTTCTCTGTTAGTTCAACCATTCCAGTCTCTTCTTTCTGACAGAGTCCTTCACTTCTTTCACTCTCCAGCGTTCAGGGCTCAGCCCTATATCCATCATGTCCTTCTTCGCCTGCTTTAGATACACCTCCTCCCCAGCCCCCAAGACCTTTTCATTCTTCTTAGCCTGCAGCTCCCCCCTTTTCTTGTACCTCTGCGCGTCCCTCAGTTGTGCCGCGTGTAGATTTTCCAACGCTGCGGGTAGCAGCTCTCGCAGGTACCTGGCTCTCGCCTCTGCCAGCCCCACCCAATCCTCCTCCTTGTCCACCCTCACTGACCCTGTCAGTATCTTCGGTGCATCCACGGGTAACACTTGCTCGCGTCCCAGGAGAAGGTAGTAGGGTGACAGGTCTCGCAGCGCTGCCTGCTTGCTGAATTGGTAGCCCGCTACCACCCACGGCAGCCGCGCGTCCCAGTCCCGTTTGAACCGTTCCCCATATACCCTCAGCCCTCGCTTTACCGTTTGCGCGAACCTCTCTGTGAGCCCATCGCTCTGCGGCAGTTATCTAGAGGTCCTACGATGGGTGATGCCGGTCGCTTGCAGTAACTTGTCAAACTCTCCCATGAATTCAGTCCCCTGATCTGTCAGCACCTCCCCACACGCCCCGAACCTGGTAAGCACCTGTTCTTCGAAGGCTTCTGCTATCCCGGCCGAGTTCTTGCTGCCGTGCTCGATCATAATCAGGATGTACCTCTTTCCTTTCCGGCTCAATGGCATTTCTCCCGCCAGGTCAAAGGACCATCTGAACCCTATCCCATGGATGGGCAACGACTGCAGCTCCTTCCGGCCCCTTTCCAGCTCGGCTCGATTCTTGCTGCAGAGCTTGCAGCCTTCCACCCACTCTCTAATATCCTTCAGCATCCCATCCCACCACCATCCGGTCTCCACCAGCTGGGCCGTTCTCAGACTTCCATAGTGCCCCAGCTGCCGATGCATGCTCCGTATAATCTGCACCCGCTCCTCCTTACGTGGTACTAGCTTCCAGCCGTTGCGCGTGTTTTTCTGCAGCTGCTCCTGGTGCCAACGGTAGTGCGCCCCTTGTGCTCTGGCTCTCTCACTCACGGGAGTGGCTTCTGTAGTCAGACTTCCCGATCGTTCCAGACATCTTCCGGTCCCTTCCCTTTTGCTCGGCTGGCTCCCTCCTCATCTATTCCTCTCGCCAATGCGACTAGGCACGCCGTGGGTCGGTCTTCTGGCGGATTCCGTGAGAGTCCATCGACATGCTGCATGGTCTTGCCCGCACGGTGCCTGATCGAAAAGTCGTACTCTTGGAGCCTCATCGCCCAACGTGCATTCCTCCCTGTCAGCGCCTGATTGGTCATCAGCCAGGTTAACGGCTGATGATCGGTCACTAACTAAAAAAATCGTCCCTGTAAGTATACTCGGAAGTGCGTAATCGCCCACACGGCTGCCAGGCCTTCCCCTTCGGTTGCAACTCCGGCTTGCAACAGCCACCACTTTCTCTTCGCCTTCTCGCTTCTGGCACAGAATTGCCCCCATCTCTGCGCTGCTCCAGTCGGTATAGAGCACGAACGGATCCTCCTTGTTCGGCAGCGTCAGCACGGTGGCGGTCTTGACTGCTCTCAGCAGAGCGTTCAGCGCTTCCTGTTCCGCTTCCTCCCACTGCCACTTCTGGTCTTCCCTCAGCAATCTGTTTAAAACCGCTGCGGTTTGACTGAAGTTTGGTATAAACTTCCGATAGTTGAGAAACCCCAGCATCGCCCTCAGTATGCTCCGGTCCTTCGGCGGTGGGACCCGGTCCAGGACCTCTACCTTTGCTTGCTGAATCCCCAACCTTTCCCCTTGTACTTCGAACCCCAGATATTTCACCCCCCTGGTACCGAAACTGCATTTCTTCGGGTGGCAGGTGAGCCCGACGTCTCTGATGGCGTCCAGCGTGGCGTTAACGTCTTTCACATGTTGCTCCGCGTCAGGGCTGAAAACTACTACATCATCTATGTAGCATGCCGCTGCTGGTATCTCCCGCAGCACCGTGTCCATGATTCGTTGAAACATAGCCGGCGCGTTCCTCATCCCAAACGGCATGAACCGCCACTCATACAAGCAATCTGGCCCAAGAAACGCCGTTTTCTTGCGATCGGCCAGCCGTATCGGGATCTAGTTGAATCCTTATCGCAGGTCCAATGTGGAGAACACTTTTGCCCCCTGCAGCTTATTGAAGATCTCCTCTGCCGACTGCATGTGGGGTATCGGTCCGCAACAGTGACCTTATTCAGGCTCCGATGGTCCCCACACATTCGCCTTGCCGATACTTCTCCCGTCAGGTCCTTCCTGGAAGCTACGATAGTCACTGCTGCATAGTCGCTCTTCGACCGCTGGATCAGCCCGGCCTTTAGCAGTTCATTACACTTCTCGACGCAGATGTCTATGTCTCCCGGACTCATTCGCCGTTTCCTCCGGGTCTATATCGGCACTTCACTAGTGAACTCAATCTTCATCTCTTGTGTCTTGCACTTCCCCAACTCCTGCAGCGTGTACGCGTAGGTACCGCGGTGCTGCCTCAGCACTTCCTGCAGCGCTGCCGCTGCCGCACCGTTCATCCCTTCCCCTAAGGTCCAGTCCTCCTCGGGGCCCCTTCTGTCCTTTCTCGCCTTCTCCTCTACCACCCCCTTTTCTCCTTCCGTTTCTTCCTCCATCCCTTCCATTGCCATGTACGCCCATCCTTCCTCCACCCGATCCTCGTACTTTTCCTCCATCCTAGCCAGTACCTTCCGGTGCCACTCAGCTGACTCGAACTCCCGGTTACGTTCACTGAGCGCGATGTCCCGCTGCAGCTCCTTCGCCTTCAGGTGCATTCGAATGGTTTCTATCAACCAGGTCAACACGTTCATGTCCATGGCTCTCCCCATGGTCGCACGACGTTGCAGTTCTGTCACTTCAGGATGCGCGGTCCCTCCCCACAGGTGCCCCATAGCTGCTTCTCTCTCATTCGCCATCGGTTGCTCCCACCTCCCCTTCCTGACATCATAGATCATCCCCGGCCCTGGCAGCTCTCCCTCCATGAGTAATCCTCGGGCCTCCGTGTACGACACCAAGGTCGGCAACGCTTGTCTTGGTTTCCCAGGCTCGTCGCATTGATACTGCGAGGGGTGATCGGGACGAGTGACTGGAGAAGGCATGCAGTTCGGCTCCAACATGTCGCTCACCAACCTCGGTTCTGGCCGTTGCATCAGAGCCAGCGAATGGCGCAACGCCGCTGTCGACATTCCGTTCTGCTAGTATCTCCTCGGTCGGTGTGCCCGAGATCCCAGCTGGGCCGCGTCGGCTGGCACTCCCCTCCCCAATACTTCGAATATCTCAGCGAACGCCCGCTTCACGGGCTCTCTCTTATCCTTCGCCAGGTCAAAATTCTCCAGGATGTACAAGACCTCCCCTTAGCGCCTCTGTATCGTCTCCAATACACGCCAGAGGTTCCGGAATGACGCTCCCCGCGCGTCTTCCATCCCCCTTCCTTCCCCTGCCCTCGAATACCCTTGGCATTCCCATCCCGCTATGACCAGATCCACTTGCCCCCAGTCATCTAGCACCCTCTCTGTGATCTCCCTAACATCGTGCACCCCCTGTTCGGATTCTGGAGGGATGGCTGTCTCCCACATCTGGTCCGGGTACTCTTCGCCTAGCAGCAGAGCGTGATGTCGGGCCATTTTCCTCACTACGGGGTCGCTTTCCACGTGGATCCACTGCTTAACCACGCACCCTGCCCGGAGGAACCCCTCCAAGGCCCAAACTCGGCTGACCCGCTCGGCCAAGGCAGGCGGGTCCTGACCCGCGGTTAGTCTCTCTATCCTCCGTTCATGCTCTTCCCCGTACTTCTCCCATGGCCATTCGTCCAGCTCTTCGGTCAGGTCCTGCTTCCACGCCTGATAGGCCTCCCGCGGCTCTTGCCTAACGAACCTTACCGGTAGCGTGCCCACCGAACTCTCAGGGTCCCAATGCTGCACCTGGTACAAGACCTTCTCCTGCCACGTACATATGGTAGCTCCTACGCGGTATAAGAGCTCCATCCCGACGAGCATATCATAGTCCTCCGACTATGATATCCTGCATTGCAAGCGGATGCAGCAC